CTTTTTTTGGATGAGTATTTGTATAGAAATTAGGCAGTTCTTGTAAAACTGACATGTAAAATATGTGAAGAAAACTCTGAATAATTTGTTTAAAATATCACCAGGCATATTACTGCTGACCCATAGAGTGCTTTAAAAAAAATTCCAAATGAAACCTGAAGTAAAAAAAAATCCCTGAAGTAAGGAAAAAACAAAAAGGCAGTGTGGTTTAATTCAGAATTCTATTCTATCTGACATGATTTAATCAGAATTGTTTTTAATTTTTACACGGGAGAGATTTGAATGTTGATGTTCACTAGAACCAGAGGTTAAGCACCTTTGGCAAGTATGTGGCCCACGTTATGTGTGGGATTAGAGTGGGATGGTTCTCCTTATCATGGATTTTTTTCTCTGGCTGTCATTTATTTCCAGATTGAAAGAAAAGGTAAGGAGGATGGGGATAAACAACTGTGTAGAGAAATTAGGGTTATTGTCCCCTTTGCCAAGGTCAGTTTCTCTATAGGTGAGAAAAATGACATACATGTGAAGGCACTGACTTGTGAATAAGAAGATGGCGCGAAACCTTGTTTAGTTAGGTGAACTTTGTCAAACAAATTGTGTTTATTTGCCAGAGCAATGTAGGGGAACTTAAATACACACAACACACACGCATTTGCATGTACATTACTACACACACCAACATGAATAAATAAATTACATATATATTTGGTTTTTTTTTTTTTTTTTTTTTTTTTTTTTTTTTTTTTTTGAGACGGAGTCTCGCTCTGTCGCCCCAGGCTGGAAGTGCTGTGCCGGATCTCAGCTCACTGGCAAGCTCCACCCTCCCAGGCTTCCGCCATTCTCCTGCCTCAGCCTCCCGAGTAGCTTGGGCCTACAGGCGCCCGCCACCTCACACCGGCTAGTTTTTTGTATTGTTTTAGTAGAGACGGGGTTTCACCGTGTTAGCAGAGGATGGTCTCGATCTCCTGGACCTCGTGATCCGCCCGTCTCGGCCTCCCCAAGTGCTGGTACAGGCTTGAGCCACCGCGCCGCCGGCCTTATATTTGTTTTCTAATAACTCACTAGTTAACATAGCCCATACATACTAATGTTAAGGGTTTCTTTTTTGATAAAGATAGTAGTTTTGAAAATGACATATCATTGAAAGATTTTCCAGTAGTACTAATGGATATACTGTGATTTATACGTATCTAATCTTTGTGTGGTCAGTAATGTTTATTTGTGAGGTTGGGCCTGGGGTGCTGTAACTAGCTGTTGACTATAATGTCAAGCTACCCAACTCCATAAAACAGCAGAGTTCAACTCCTTGTTGTCATTATCACAGTTCTTTAACAAACTGAGCAGGTTTGCCTTGGATAAATACAAACCAAGCCAACACGTATTTAGTAAATGCCTTTTCTGGCCATAGGTTCTTTCCAACTTCCAAAATCAACTGAGTGCATGTAAAGAGTAACCCAATAGAAAGATAGACTCAATAAAGAAGATTCCTGTGTGATAATATTTAGGTAGCTGTAATGAACTGTGAAACTTTCAAGGACAACTATACAGTCACTCAGTAGGTCATGCACTAGGGTTAAAGTTGACTCTGAAATTTGTTTCAGTACTTTTTAACAAATAAATAGCTGAAAGATTTGGCAAAAGGAAGAAACAATCACAATCCTTCTTGTCCTCATTCTCTCAGGAAAATGTCTCCTGTTAAGTTATTTGAATGTTTACTTTGCCTTGACTGCTTTCCAGTGTTGTGTCAGTTCTTACCCTTGAACCAAGTGAGAATTCAAATAAACCAAAAAAGTTTTCACACAGCTGGACTCTTCTGCCGTTGAGTCATGCCAGTAGTCTCTCTCCCACTTTTTAAAGGACCAGCAAGAAAAAACTGGAAAAGCGGATTCATAACCTGATATCCGCGAGCTAGAGAAACTTGAGCTTGTACCTTTTAGATTTTGGAGTACTTGGCATAGAGAAGGTGAGCAGATTCTGGGAGATACTATTTGATTTATTAAAAGCTGTACTTAAGGTGCCTTTGTCTGTGTTACTACCTAATTTTATTAATGGTTAACGTTCATCTTTCTTTGCATAAATGAAAATGCACGTAAAATTCTCATTTCTAAAATGTCATTAATGTAGTACTGTCATTAGATTTTGTTGTATTCTATAGTCATAGATCCAGTGTCTAGCCCTGGCTAAGCAGGAACATGGGGCATCATTTGCGGACATAGTAGCCTAGTCTAGCATAGTACCTGGCATATAGTAGGCACTTACTGTATTTTTTGTTGATTTTTTAAATTATACATATGAATGAATAAGTGAGTGAAGGAATAAACAATACAGCTAGAATATACCAAATTCAGATGAGATGGCAGTTCTCATTAAACACTACTCCTTAAGGTACTTCTTGGAATTGCATTCTATTGTATTCCTTTCATTTTAAGAAACATTTTTGAAATACCTACTTTCTGCTAGGCACTAAAATTTTGCAAAGCTAAATATGATGTCATTCTTGCCTTCAAAGAGGTCACAGTTGTGTCACTAGATAAGTTACATAAGAAAGTATTGAGTGCTGTGGTTACGCATGTCCCAGGTATAGAGGAAGGATAGAAGAGAAAGAATTGGCCATATCTGGAGAATGGCATGGACGTTGTTAATTTTACTAGTTTTATTTATCTTTTATATTGTCCATCTGTCCTACTTGAATATATGGTATACATTTTTATGTGTTACTTAGTTTTATGTATACAGTTTTCATTGCTCAATTCCACCTCTTAGGATAGTCTTAGCATATGATAAGTATTCAATAAGTGTTTGTTGCATGAATGATTTTTGATAGAAATAGCAGACTGCCTCCAAAAAGTATGTACTGATTTTATTTCCACCAGCAATATGTGATAATGATTTTTGCTCACATTCTTGCCAGTGCTGGGTTTTGTGAAACTTTTTTAGTTTTACCAAATGTGCTATACTGTCTCTATAGTAAAATACACACACACACACACACCCCCCCCACAAACAAACCATCCCTTGACTACCATCTGTCTTCAGCAATTCTCCCTGTTTTTCTGCTGCCTTTGTATAGCAGAACCCTGGAAGGAAGTGTCTGTGCCTGCTTCCTGTTTCCTGTCTTCCCATTCTACCCTGAACCCACCATCATGCTTTTGTCTTTTCTCCACTGAAACCATTCTTGTCAATATCACCAACGACCTTCAGTAGTCCTTTCTGATGGTGTCTCATCTTACTCTGCTTTTCATTGATGTTTGAGACTGTTGATCACACTCTTCTTCTAGAAATATTTCTTTTTCTTATTTTTTAAATGTATTTTTATTTTTTTGATATGGAGTCTGGCTCTGTTGCCCTGCCTGGAGTGCAGTGGCACGATCTTGGCTCACTGCAACCTCCACCTTCCAGGTTCAAGCGATTCTCCTGCCTCAGCCTCCCAAGTAGCTGGGATTACAGGTGCATGCCACCAGGCTCGGCTAATTTTTGTATTTTTAGTAGAAACGGGGTTTCACCATGTTGGCCAGGCTGGTTTCAAACTCCTGACCTCAAGTAATCCTCCTTCCTCAGCCTCCCAAAGTGCTAGGATTACAAATGTGAGCCACTGTGCCCAGCCTAGAAATATTTCTTATGTTCTCCCTAGACAAATAGATTTTTTTTCTATTTCATTAACTACCTCTGCTGCGTGTCTTTGGCTACTTCCCGTCTCTAAAGGTTGGAGTATTCCAAGGCTCTTCTGTTTTATCTCTTCCCCTTTCCTCAGTCCTCTAAACATATTTTCCGTAGAGAGAGCTCATCTAGTGCCAAGGCATTCATACTTTTAAGATCTACATTTCCAGCTCTGATTTCTTCATACAGCTCCAAACTCATACATGCAACTGTTGACTTGACAGTAATACTTGGATGTCTAATAGATAGCTCAGACTTACCTTGGCCAAAACAGAACTAGTGATGAACCCTCTCTTCTGTCTCTCCCTCTCTAGTCTTCCCCATTTCAGTAAACAGGGCTATTATTTATTTTGTGTCACCAAAACCCAAGAGTTATCCTTCACACATCTCTGTCCCACACTATATCCAAGCCTTCGACTTGTCCTATTGGGTCGACCTTTATAATATATTCTGAGTCCAACTACTTTTCTCCACCTCCACGGTTGACTCATTGCTCTAACCACTGTGTCCTCATCTGTCTCCAGGGTGATTACAGTATGTCCAGCTTAGTCTCCCTTTTCCACTTCAGCCAGTGATCTTTTTAAAGCATAAATAAGATTACATCATTCCCCTTCTCTGTGTCCTCTAAGGGTTTGCTCTTTCATTTAGAATAAATCCCACCATCTTTACCATGGCCTTCAAAGCTGAATATGTGATCTGGTCCAGCCTTCCTCTCTGGCTTCATCCATTACTATCCTTTTGGCTTATCCCACTCTCACAATAGTGCCAAGCCCAATCCCAACACAGGCCTGACCTTAATATTCTTTGTGCTTGACCAGTCCATGAGCCAGGAGTCCTCCATCTGAAAAAAAGGGACAAAAACCAGTAGTACCTATCTCATAGGGTTGTTATGAAGATTAAATTCGTGTATTAAAGCACTGACACGGTGTCTGGCACATAGTAAACACTGTGTAAATGTTAGCCACTATTTTGTTATTTTCCTTATATTTACTATTTTGGGGGATGTGGAGGAGGAATACATGTTGATTGCGTTGAGTTTTGTATGTATGTGAGATGTGTAAGTAGAAATGCATTATAGGCAGTTGAATGTATTCATTCAGAGTGATTAGTTCTGTGTAGTAAGAGATATCCTAGGACCTTGGAAGAATGAGCAAAACTTCTAGCTCTAGTGTCTAGAGATCAGTTTGTGAATTGGGAAGATCTGGATCATTAAGTGCCTAGTATTTGACGTACTCTACACAGAGCTTTCAAAATAGATGGCCGCCATCATGCTCACAACTCCAGCTGCTCAGATGAAAGATTTCAATGGTTTATATTTTCTTTCCTTTTTCTTTTTTAGTGAACCAAGGCCTGGGTTTTGCTCTGGAAGCCTGTCCTGCCTGCTTCTGTCATCTGGCGCTATGCATCCGGATCTTGAAGCCTTATGTACACTGCTATATGTTACTCTTACAGCTCTGTGCTCTTCTGTGAGTTCAGGTAAGAGTAGAAGAATTGGGGAGGGGGTGGTTTGGCCTTTACTTATCTTAATCTTATAGCAAATAAATTTGTACTGCAATGCTTTGTGGTAATGGTGCTATCTAAAGATGTTTCTAAGATTGGTTTGACCAACTACTTGATTTAAAAACTTGATAAATTCAGCAATTTAAGGATCTCTTAGTAGTGCTTTGGACATTAGCAGGCCTTCCTGTCCTGGCCCTTGTAATTTATCCCTTTTTTTTTTTTTTAATACGTATTTTCCAATCATGCTTTTTTTAAAATAAGGGGATATGTTATTACTAATTTCTGATTTAGAAAGAACAGGAATAAAATGTGGACTATATATGCCAAAGAGAAGTTTTAGAATCAGCATGATTCTATGTTCAATTGGGAGTGAGAGAACTTGGTTCAAATTCCAGGTCTGCCACTTTCTCTTATGACCTTGCCTAATTTATTGTCTGCCTCTTTGGGTTACTGAAAAGCATAAATGTGTTTGTTGTTAAATATGTGTGTAAGCCCCATGCCTAAAACATGGTTCACGTGCATTTCTTTTTATTTTAGACTTGTGTAAACATGAATATATAAGTAGATACAAATACAGTGATGTTTATTCATTGAGTACTGTTTTTAATATCTGCTAAAAATATCATATAGCTGTATTAAATTTAATAAGGGGAATATTGGTTTTGTGGTTTTATTTCTGTTTTGCTAAACAACCACCCCAGATTCAGCCAGAAGAGATACTTCCCCTTAACTTCGTTTCTGATTAAATATTCTGTAGGAGTAGATTCAGCAATTTATTGATTTTTTTTCTCTTAAGTATTTTATTCCACCAAATTAACAAATATTTCTTCCCCCTTCCCGCTTCGGGGTTGGAACAGAAGGATCTGCGTGGATACTTTGGTGCAGGAACACCCCTGCCTTGCCATGTCCCTGGAGTAATAGAAATCACAGATCAAACAATTTCAAATCCCACATAAAAATACTAAGCCCTCTATTTAAGAAAGGACAGCCTTTGTATTTCAGTTGTGGCTTCCTAACTTTCTATTTCTGTTTTCTTAAAACTTAAACATTATTTTATATTGAAGGGAAGTAATAAGAAAGTACCACAGCCCTCATTTGTAGAAAAACTTGCTCTCATAAATCAAATCCTGTTGGTAAAATAGGGGAGAATTCTTTTTATTGGGAAAGTCATCTTCACTTTTTCAGGTTCGTAACTTCCAATTCTTCCAAGTCACTTCATTAAAAAAGCTGTTTGCCATTTCTTTCTTTCTTTCTTTCTTTCTTTCTTTCTTTCTTTCTTTCTTTCTCTCTTTCTTTCTCTCTTTCTTTCTTTTCTTTCTTTTCTTTCTTTGTTTCTTTCTTTCTTCCTTTCTTCCTTTCTTCCTTTCTTCCTTTCTTTCTGACAGGGTCTCCCACTGTCACCCAGGCTGGAGTGCAGTAGTGCAGTCATGGCTCACTGCAGCCTCCATCCACCTCCTGGGATCAAGCAATCCTCCCACCTCAGCCTCTGGAGTAGTTAGAGGTACAGGTGTACACCACCACACTGGCTAATTTTTGTATTTTTTGTAGAGACAGGATTTTGCCACGTTGCCAGGTTCTTCTTGAACTCCTGAGCTCAAGGATTCACCTGCCTTGGCCTCCCAAAGTGCTGGGATTATAGGCGGGGCCCCAGGGCCCAGCTGCACTTTGCTATTTCTTATTAATAGGATTGGTATTGTATCTGATTTATATCATCAGCATTCTTGTCTTTTGTACCCTAATTGTTAAGTCCTAGGCTAACTTTCTTTTTCACTTCCAATAAATAGGCTCTTAAGAATTTTGCTAGAACTTTTACAAGCATCAAGAACCATAACATACATAAAATAAGAGATTGCCTTTAGTTATAAAGATACAGATGAAATGTGTTTAATGTAATCTTCTTTCTCTCTCCTCTTACCTCCCATGCTTTCTTTGCATATGGGGAATATTCCCTTGTAGACTTGGCACCTTATTTTACTTCTGATCCACTCTCTGCTGTCCAGAAACTTGGTGGACCTGTAGTACTACATTGTTCTGCTAAACCTGGGACCACTCATATCTCATGGTTGCATAATGGAAAAAAATTGGATGGAAACATGGAACATATTAAGATTCATCAGGGGACTTTGACAATTCTTTCTCTTAACTCCTCCCTTTTGGGTTACTACCAGTGCCTTGCCAACAATAGCATCGGTGCCATTGTGAGTGGCCCAGCAACAGTATCTGTGGCAGGTGAGTTTAATTTTGTCCCTGTTAGGTATGGGTTTTCTGGAAATTACTGTTAGTGCTTGCATTTCTGAAGAGGGAAAAGACTATGGACTTTGGTGTAAGGCACATAGGAGTTTTTATCTCAGCCTTGGCTCGTGCTGTGAGTAGAACTTGTGGAAGTGCGCTTAGACCTCCGTGAGCCTGGCCTGGTGTCCTCATCGGTGACAATGATATGGAAATGATTGTTTTAAAGTTACACAATTAGGACAGTTTTTTTTTCTTTATAATCTCTGCAGCTTTGCCAGGGAAGGACCCTTTTCTAATGTGAATTCTGAACAATTTCTTTATGAGTACTTGGAAGTCCATGATATCATTAACAGCAGAAGCTGTTGTCTACTCTGACACTTAGTTATTTCCTGGAGTCCTTTGTCTTTCTTTCACACCTGTTTTATTTGCCTTGATTACTGAGTGATTTTAATTCATTTAATTGAAACCATGATTAAAAAGCAGGAAAAAAGTAACTGTAAAGAAAGGAATGTTGAGTATTGAACTTACGGAAAATCCGGAATGCGTGGTTTTTCTTAGTAAGTTGGAGCCATCTGCCTTTCAAATGGTGATGGCTTCCAGTAATGGAAAACGTCTTTGTAAGGGCACCCCTATTTACAGAAGAAATCTGGATTCCCCAGGAGTAGTGAGTTTGTCATAACTGAGAAGAGTAAATGTTTTTGTAGAGCTGTGACCCACGGACAGCTGTAAGACACACACTGGCGGGCTGAACTCCTCGTGACAGGCTGCTGAGTGCTTTGAGCCCTGGAGATCATAAAGAGTTCCCCCGCAGGCTCCATCCATAGTGAACTGAGACTGAGAGGAATTGAGACCAAGTTAGTAGATTCAGATGATCTAAATAATGATATCCTTCCTTATTTTTTTGATGTCCTAGGTTCATTCCAGAAATAATTTTACTGCAATGTGAATAACTACAAACAGATTAGGGATCTGTAGGGAAAGTGGGTTTTGATGGGGGACTGGATTGAAAAGGATTTGTCTTGACCAAATGGGAATAATTATGCTTTATAGTTCTAGATGTCTTCAGAGCAGTTTATATTTATTCTGGTTCCCTAGAAGCATTGACTTATGAAAAACGGTGCCATGACTTAGGTCTTAGCCCTCAACCATGCACATCTGCCCCAGCTGCTTTCTTTTTTTCTTCTTTTCTTTTTTCTTTCTTTTTCTTTTTTTTTTCTTGAGACAGGGTCTCACTCTGTTACCCAGGCTGGAGTGCAGTGGCACGATCTTGGCTCAGTGCAGCCTCAACCTCCTGGGCTCAAGCGATCCTCCCACCTCAGCCTCCTGAGTAGCTTGCCACAGCTGCTTTCTGAGATGAAAAGATCATGCAGCCCTTTGGACTGGGGTCAGCGGCCACAAAAGGCCACGCTGCAGATGTTGTTTCTGATTTTTAAACTTCCTTTGGGAAAAAGAATTCAAATTTGCATTTATTTATTTACTTATTTATTTATCTGTTTCCTTATTTATTTCAGTTCTTGGTGATTTTGGTTCATCCACAAAGCATGTTATTACAGCAGAAGAAAACAGTGCTGGTTTCATTGGCTGCAGGGTACCAGAGAGTAACCCCAGAGCTGAGGTGCGCTATAAAATCCGGGGAAAATGGCTGAAACATTCCACAGGTGAGACCTTTTGTGAAAAGCTGGTGGCACACACAGAACAAATGTTCATTAAATAAGCCGCTTCTAAGCTCTGTATGCTAGAGATGAACTGTAGATGCAAGAAGGCATGAGTGGAGAGGACTAAAACAAATGGTTACAATATACATATAATTACGGCCCCATCCCCTGAGGCCTCACTCCCTCAGTTCCTTCAGACCCCCATCAGATTTCACTTCCTTGGAGAAGACAGCCCTCATGGTCCTATCTAAAATAATATACCTGGTGCTCTCTGGCCCCTTTATTTAGTTTTGCTTTTCTTCATAGAATTGATCACACCTGATACTGTGTTATTCATATTTCTGTTAGTTTATGATTATATTTCTTTTTCTCTGACCTCCCCACATACCCCTACTGGAACGTGGGCTGCATGCATGCAGGGTTTTTGTCTGCTCTTTTCCTTGCCATAGCACTTGTGCCTGGCCATTGTGGGCGGAAAGTAGCCCCTTAATATGTATTTGTGGGAAAAAAATGAGTGACTAGACAATGCAGAAACACCATGTGACCAGTGCTGTAGGTAGAGGTGTGCCAAAGTCGGAGCATGTTTCTTGTGCTTTGAGATTCACTATCGTTAAAATGCTTCTGCCGAGTTTGATTTGCTGTGCTAATTCTGTTGACCTTTTTTTTCTATTCTGCTTTGACTTTCCCTTTCCTTCATTTAAGAAATTTTCCTTGATTGCTTCTTTGCCGCTAATCTCACGTCTAAACGTAATGCAGGCTGTCTTGTGGCTGACGCCTGTAATCCTAGCACTTTGGGAAGTTGAGGCAGGAAGATCACTTAAAGCCAGGAGTTCAAGACTAGCCTGGGCAATATAGTGAGACCCCATTTCTACAAAAAATTTAAAAATTAACTGGGTGTAGTGGCCTGCACCTGTAGTCTCAGCTACTCGGGAGGCTTAGGTGGGAGGACCGCTTGAGTCCAGGAGTTCTAGACTATAGCAAGCTGTACTTATACCACTGTACTCCAGCCTGGGTGACAGAGTGAGACCCCCATCTCTAAAATAAAATAAAATAAAATAAAATAAAATGAAACAAAATAAGATGGAATAAAGCATAATGAGCAACCTTTGTGAGTTTTAGTTGTGCTGTGGTGTCCTTCATAAAGGGAGAGGCCTAACTGCACTCCCTTCCTTCCTCAGAGAATTACTTAATCCTTCCATCAGGAAATCTTCAGATTTTGAATGTATCCTTAGAGGACAAGGGATCATACAAATGTGCAGCTTATAATCCTGTCACACATCAATTAAAAGTTGAACCTATTGGCCGAAAGCTCCTTGTGAGTCGTAAGTATTTGGGAGAAGAATGGTAACTGGTGGAAGAGGAAGAGTCCTCATAAAAATGTGGGCAATGATAGTTCATTTTTTTTCAAATCTTGTTTGTTTATCATAAAAAGTCTTACCAAAAAAGGAAATACAGGCTGGGCATGGTGGGTCACCCCTGTGATCACAGCACTTTGGGAGGCCGAGGCAGGTGCATCACCTGAGGTTAGGAGTTTGAGACCAGCCTGATCAACGTGGCGGAATCCCCGTCTCTACTAAAAATACAAAAATTAGCAGAGTGTGGCGGCACGCGCCTGTAATCTCAGCTACTCGGGAGGCCGAGGCAGTAGAATCGCCCATCGCCTGAAAGCTGGGAGGGCAGAGGTTGCAGTGAGCTGAGATTGCAGCACCTGCACTCCAGCCTGGATGACAGAGTGAGACTCTGTCTTAAAAAAAAAAAAAAAAAAAAAAAAAAGGTACATTAAAGCATTATAGAAGAGTACTGTACATGCTCAAAAATGTAACTTACAGAAGGCATTTTGGCTAAGGTGACAGAGTGAATACATGTGGAGGATTTTGCCTTTGTTCAAACAAGAAGAAATAGAGGAGATATAACTTTATAGTAGTGGTCATTAAATTGGTGTCTGGAATTTTGAAAAAAAAAAAAAAAAAAGAGATATGTCTGTCCTCTTTCTTTCAGATGTGATGAAAATCACCGTTGAGTTTTAGGTTATGGCGGTTGCGTTGAGGTAGCACCAATAGTTAGAGCACAGTAAAGCCGTGGCTTCTGACTTGTTGGGAATTCTGCATTTCCAAAACTGCCAATTCAGAAGTAGCCCTAAAAGACCACAGAAATCTTTTAATTCTCAACTAAAAAGGATTTAACTGCCAAATAGGACCTTGTAGTATAAAGAATACTTGGAAAACAGTGATACCCACAGCTTTGCTAAGCAAGAGATTAGAGAACAAGACTTACTAACTAATCTCTCGTCTCCTGTCCTTTTCCAGGTCCTTCTTCAGATGATTTTCACATTCTTCACCCCACCCATTCACAGGCATTAGCTGTTCTTTCTCGTAGCCCCGTAACCTTGGAGTGTGTGGTGAGTGGGGGTCCCGGCTCCTCAAGTGTATTGCTAAAGGACGGGCAGGACATTGCACCAGGAAGCAGCTGGAGAAGGTTGTATTCTCATCTTGCCACAGACAGCGTTGACCAAGCGGACTCTGGGAAACTATTCCTGCATGGTGGGAAACAAGTCTGGAGATGTAAAATATGTGACTTACATGGTTAATGTACTTGGTAAGATGTTAGTTTTTAATTTTTTTTCAATGAAGCCATTTTTCTGGTCTAACTGATATCTGAAGGAAAGATCCATTTGTGACATTGAAATAGGGAATATCTAGAAATATCTACACCTAGCCAAAACAAGGTTTCATTTTTATAATGGACTGCTGAATTAGGCCATTTTTATGGGTGGCATAGAGCATTTCACATGGAATATTCTTGGGAACCTCACCCCCAACCTAGTTATGCAATATGAGAGATTGCTCTCTTCTTCCATAACATGGAGGAAAAAACTGGAAATCAGGAGAATGGAAGAATCTAGCTGATATCTGTGGTGTAGTATCCAGTAGTAGTACACTAAGACAGAGTACTAATGAGAAAATGTCAGGCCAGGCATGGTAACTCACACCTATAACCCCAGCACTTTGGGAGGAGGTCAGAATACTGAGCCCAGGAGTCCAAGACCAGCTTGGGCAACATGGCGGAAACCCCATCCTCTACACGAAAATACAAAATTTAACTGGGTGTGGTAGCACAGGCTTGTAATACCAGCTACTTGGGAGGCTGAGGTAGGAGGGTGGTTTGGAACCCGGGAGGCGGAGGTTGCAGTGAGCTGAGATCACGCTATCGCGCTCTATTCTGGGCGACAGAGCCAAACCCCTGTCTCAAAAAAGAAAATGTCATCTCAAAAAGAAATCAAATCTATTTAATTTAATTTTCTTTTTTTGGATGCTTTATCAATGCCTGGGTGACAAAATTGAATTATTTCCACCCACATTTCTGTATTATACTTTATTCTCAAAAGCTATTCCTTCTCTTCTAAGCAACTACCCTACCTCACTATCATGTGTGAGCTGCAGAAATGTTTTCCTTTGTTGAAACAGATTTTCATGAAAAAAAAAGGTAGAAAGTGGTTTAATATGAATAAAATTGTTGTAAACCTTTGCATGTATTCTATAATATTTATAACCATAACCTTGCCCTATAGGTT